AGCTTATGATTGTTAAACCAAAAAGTCTCTCTTCTAGTAGAGACAACTCCAAAATCAAACAACTGCTGCCTTGTAGTTTGTTCTTGGTTGGACAAAGGCTATAGAAGCAAGTCCAAAAAGAAAAGCAGGCTGAAATCGAAGTCAATGGCCTCAATGGCGCATAACCAGTTGACACGTATCCTAAATTGTGATGGAGGCGTGGTCGAGTCGGCAAAAAAGCTCATGGTTGATACATTCGAAAAATGTCTTGAGTTCAAACCCTCTAGCAAATAAGGCTCGATCTATTCCAATACTAAAAATTAAGAACGAAGAAGAAGACTTCCTTACACAACAGGTGTGTGCATTGTTGAGGATATAATTTCTACTAGTTGAATTTTATTAGGTAGTTATTAAGGGCTTTGTTAATTATATAATTTTATCGGTAATTATTTACATTTAAATTATTGTTTAAGAGTTTAGCCACGATATTTTAAGTAGTTTCATTCAAGCAAATAATTTCTCTGTATTAAATTTCCAGTAAGTCAATGGATCACCTCCAATGATTGCTGAAATTACAATTAATTAACCTTGCATCGCTAGGTTTGATAATCGGTACTTTGGTTAATATAATTACTATTTATATTTTCACAAATGGAAAATTATAATTTTTTTAACACAGGACGATGATAGTAAATGTATCGGTATTTAGTCTAAACAATTCCCGAGGATTCGAAGTCGATACTCATAACATATCGATAAAGTAATTGATCTATTTTCCCGCCATTTGTAAGATGTGCAAAATTTATATAAATAAAAACACTTTATTTTAGTTAACGTTCTATTAAACAAAACTTAAATTCAAGTTTATATTTTAGTAATAAAATGTTTTGAAAGTTGCTTACATATAATTCTTTTTTGTTTTTACACTCATGACTCAGTAGGCGATGCGTAGTATCAGAATCGATGCTAATTTATAAAAGAAAACGACGATACCTTCTGAAGTTAAGGCTTGCCAAATTGACAAACTTGCAAAAATTATTCTTTTAATTTTCAAGTTAATTAGAAGTAAATGCAATATGATGATAGATATAATTACTATAAATACATATTAAAATACTTAATAATCGAATTACAACAAATACAGAAGACACGTATTTACATAGCCTACTATTTAGGTTATTAGATATGTTTTAAATATCATAGACGGAATAAAATATTGAATACAAGGACATTAAAGTTTTACGAATCTGAAAATTGTTCTTAATAAAAAAAATATTTTGGAAATAATCAGCTATTATATCTTTTTTCAAAGTGTTAATTATGTATGTTTTATACTTACAAACGCGATTTAGTTTATACTTCCGGTAACTTATTTAGATTAAAATATTTCAGAATGAGGTGATCCATATACATAGACATTATTTAATTTTGTCATTTAAATTATGTTAATGCCATGATTATAATTTGGCGGAAATATTGTACTGTAAGCTCCACATTTGAATGTAAACTTTATAGGATGTAAAATAAAATTGGAGGAACCTCAAAAGCATTTGCTAGACAGAATAATACGATTACCACGGGGAGTGAACAACAGACAGACTAGACGTGACAAAACTAGCCTGTAGGCTGACCAGTGACCAGGTTTGTTAGTGCCGTGGGGGGGGGGGGGGGGTCGATAATTTGTTAGTTCCCAATGTTGGGCCCATTGTCCCAAAGGAGTTTATATTGCAAGGTGACATATAAAGACAGGCCAGTCACAGATTCGTTTGTCGGGCCAGTAAAGCATATTGCTGCTAAACTGAGTAGTTCCGAATTCAAACACATGAGGCTCTATGTAGTCTGTCGTTTGACCTAATTCTTTTTATCGTCGTCATGGTGATAATGGCTGTCGAAAACGACGAATCCGAATGTTTCATTGCCATTTCAGCATTATATACTTATAAGCGTTATTTCTGCGTATTATTCAACAATACTGATCTCGTTTTAATAATTGACGAAAAGTGCTTGATACAAACCTGCCATTTGTACATTTTGTGTCTAATCGTTGAGAATATCGAGCAGAATCATATACATTAGGCAAAACTTTAATTACAGTATTTAATATTCTGAACTATAGAAAATTATATATTACGTCCTACTAAATTATTTTCATTAATTAAAAATAATATGGAGTTTAAAAAACCTTCCAAAAATAACTTTATCGAGATAACAGCTAACTAAGCCCATCCATTTTGCCGTGTGTATTTGAATGGGAATAAATCTAGCAGACAACACATTTCTACTGTACATTGAATCGCGTCACAACAACAGTTCTTTAAAATTACCCCACCGTACCCGTCATATCGTCGTAGCCATTTTTTTACACAAATAATTTTCTAGGCTATCGATTAATTTTGATAATTGAAATTCGTATCAAATTCAAGGTAAATACATTTCGTTTTTAATCATTTAAATAATCTTGGACAATATTTTTTTAAACCGTTGGCGTAACTGGGGACAGTAAACAATCAAGGGGAGACAACTCCAGAGTCAAACAATTAGGCCCACAACTGCGTTAGGTTATAGAAGCAAATCCAAATTGTTTTTAAAAATTATCATTAGAAGAGATATATTTTAACAATAGTATTAAATTAGCTACTGGATAATAAGCCCCCCCCCCCGCTAACGAAGTAGAATATATATGGAGAATATGTATTTCTTACGAGTTTCTGCATCCTCCCACCCAGAGTTTCTTCCAGGCATCTCTTCGGGGGGGGGGGGGGGGGGTAAAAAGTCTGGAAGAAACACTGCTCCCCCCCCCTCTAAAATCTCTAGTGCCTCCCTCGGAGAAAAAAACTCGGGAGGAAACACTGTTTCAAATAGTAGACCTATAGTTTTTTTTTAACCACATAACACATTATTAAAGTTGACTAACTCGTAAGGACGGCCTAGGGACTGGAGTGGCGTCGTCCCATTTCCAAAAGTCAAACGCCACTTCTTATTTTTCAAATTTAGATCTATTTATTTCATGTTACAGCCTCTAATACTTGATAGATTGATATAATGATAGTGATATTGTAGAACTGCTACTAAATTTTATTTTTGGCTTCTTTAAATGTGCTTACGGCAATAAAAGTTTAAACTGTTCTGGCCATCGAAAGCCGATCTTCATTTCTGCTAGCGATGAATTGAAAGTCAGGGTCGAGACTGCGTTACACTGTCTTAGCTTTTAGTTTTCCAAAATCCTTGGTCTCCGTTCTCAACACAGATCTAGACTCTAGATTCTAGATATAATATAGACATCTAGTGTGTTTTAATGCAATGTACAAATAAATCATTAATGTGTATACACATCTAGACTAGCTTCTAGATCTATCTATACATACTATTCTATACTATACTAGATCTAGAAATCTATATATCTATACTAGATCTGTATCTAGATCTAGATTCTAGTTCTAATTACTAATTTCAATCATGCCTTTTGTTTAAGTTTAAACATGGAGGAGAGAATTATGATAAAGATTTCATTCAGCTTTTGTGAATATAGCCTACTCTAGAATTAGGACGAATCTCCTAGTTTCTAGATCTATCTAGTACTTAGTACTAGATCTAGTATCTAGATTTGTTTTCTAGCTTTAAATTTGTAGCAGTTTAAACTTTTACTACACTAGCCTTAAATAAAACAAAAATGCCAGAAATTAAGCTAACATAAAAAAAAAACCCTACAGTACTAGACTAGAATCTATATATTTATTGTGTTGTAAAAAAAAATTTGTAAGAACTATTACTGTAACTTTAACATTTATATTTTATATTAATGTTCTTTTATTTCAGGTCTTTAAATAGTGGGTCCTGTTCTATAACTAGTAACAGCCTAAATTAGGCATTAGTGTAATTTAAAATTGCTAGGAAACTAAAAACTATTCAGTTATATCTTAGAGCAAAAACCTTGTGGAAATTATTGTAAATATCTAGATCTAGTGACATGTGGACTAATCAATGATAAATGAAACTTAAAATTCCTAACATAATCAGGGCTTATTAACATGAATACAATTAATATATTTCTCTAAATTACTTTCCATGTAGGCCTATAACTATAACTTTTACCTACATTTCCAGGTAGATTTAGATACAAACATTTCTCCCCTGTGTTGCAAACATTTGACATCTTCAGGCTACATCACAATTATAAGAAACATGTTGTGTTCTTCTTTAACTGTTCATAATTCATCATAAATGTTGTCATTCCTGGACAAAGGCTATGGAAGTAAATCCTAAAAGAAAAGCAGGCTGAAATCGGAGTCAATGGCGCATAACCAGTTGACACGTAACGCTTAATTGTGTTGGAGGCGTGGTCGAGTTGGCAAGAAAAGCTCATGGTTGATAAATTCGAACAAAGTCTCGAGTTCAAACCCACTGGCAGATAAATCTCGATCCCCTTCAACACTAATAATTAAGACCGAAGAAGAAGAAGTTGTCATTCTGTAGTTCTATGCTAATGACAGTTCCACCATAAATGTTGTCATTCTGTAGTTCTATGTTAATGACAGTTCCATTATAAATGTTGTCATTCTGTAGTTCTATGCTAATGACAGTTCCATCATAAATGTTGTCATTCTGTACTTCTATGCTAATGACAGTTCCATTATAAATGTTGTCATTCTGTTGTAGTTCTATGCTAATGACAGTTCCATCATAAATGTTGTCATTCTGTAGTTCTATGCTAATGACAGTTCCACTATAATTTTATTTCTCTCTCCAGAGCCTGAAGGATCTTCCATAGTGGTGTGTGCTGTCTGATGTAGTGTTAAAGTCAAGGGGAGTTCAAAGGTCAGTTCCATTATATCTTACATGTTGGTCTAAGAATGTATTTAACCATAATCTTCTAAAGATGACCCTCATGCTGTGTTCTGTTTTCCACATCATTGACCAGTGGCTATTGTTATGTAGTTTGTAAAGAAACGCTGGTGAATGAGTAGTCAAGCTACCATATAAACTTCTTTCTTTAAAAAGTCAAAATATTTTTAACTGTACAGAGTGACTGACAGCTGCTGAATGTGATGTGAAGGTCAAGGTTATTTCAATCAAACAGCTGCCACAGATGACCATAAGACTACAGTAAAGGCCAGTAGAGATCTGTCACATCAAGTTACAGGTAAGTTTGTTAATTATCTTTTAACGTAATCAAGTGTACAGCCTTGGTTTAATGCAGATGTAGACAATGTGTCAAATCTTTGTGTTGTGGTTTATTTAACAGGAATCAACTTGGGTAGTCTAGATGACCACAATGGTATGGCCAGTGGAGAGTATAGTCTAGATGACCACAACAGTATGGCCAGTGGAGAGGATAGTCTAGATGACCACAACAGTATGGCCAGTGAAGAGGATATCTCAACATATTTTACAGGTAATGTATATTTGTTTGGGAAAAATCGGTCCTAAGAAAGGCATCTACCCGCATGCTTACTATGTTTTGTGCTAATGAAGTCCTTATGTTGGAACATTCTGTAGTTTGAAATGTTGACTGGATGAAAATCTAAAGATGGTGATGGTTGAGATGGTTGTGACAGTTGGAGGTTGTAGATAGTTTTCTTGTTTTATGTTTGTCATAGTTTAACAGCTAATGAAATGTTTACAGTAATAAAAATGTTTTGTTTACCTGTACAGGTACACATGAAGTACAAGAATGTCTTCAAGGTCAAGGTGAGGTAGATCTACACACACACCTGGCAAACTGCGAGAAAAATCCTGGCCATAAAAACTTTGTACCTGTAAATCAGTTAAGTCTTGAACATTTTCCATCTGGTTACCATGACAACGATGTGTATGACCTCACAAAAGCCCTGGCTGACCTGACTGTCAGGATAGCCGTTACGTTGACCAGTCCAGACAGACCAGAGTTTGTACCAGGCACTAAAGTTCCATATCCTTGCTACAACACCAGGGGACAGAACTCACTGAGGACAGGGACTGGGAGGGTGTGGGTGGTGACCAAGTACACAGAGGGAAGGAAGGGCTACAGAACTTGTCCATGTCCTGAATGTGTCAAGTCCAACACACCCAGCAAAGTGTGGTGGCAGGTTGATGTGTTGACAGCCACACATGTGGTGTTTGATTCAAGTGAGGCGAGCCAGTCCAGCTGTAGGTTGTGGTTTGATGATGATGAAAGTCCAGTGGTCAACATTTATGGGTGGAAGGTGGAAGAGTCAGTCACTGAGAGAGACATGTGTTGGTTGTGTTGTGTGACACATGACGTAGATGTAGGTGATAAACTGAGGAAGATGTGGAGTCGGTTTGATGGTCTATGTCGTAAAGTATGGGACAAATACGAGAGTCGTAGAGATGTGGACAAGCTGACCATTATAGTGTCACATCCTCATGGCTGTTCTAAGCAGGTCTCTGTAGGTCACTGGGTGGACAGGCAGGTGGTGGAGGGGGAGTACGTGACCAGGTACACGTACACAACGTCCACCTGTCCAGGTAGCAGTGGGGCTCATGTCTACAGACTGGGGTGGGGCGGGTCTCTCCATCCCCACAGTGGAGCTAAGTCTGGTGGATTAAATTATAGTGGGGTGTACTTGGACTTGTAGTTGTCTGCTCTTGTATAGAATGTAAACAAACATGGCGTCTGTTGGATGTCTGTCTTTTCTGGAATGTAAACAAACATGGCGCCTGTTGTCTGTCTTTTCTAGAATGTAAACAAACATGGCGACTGTTGGATGTCTGCTCTTAAAATATTTCTTGACATTATTGTAGAGCTTTATTAAGCTTTTAATTAATTATCTCGTTTTTTTTATCAGAGAAAAAGTTGTTGATTGTTTGATTGGGAGTGAAGGAATAAAGATGTCACAATTTTTTTGTAAATATAAACGTAAATAAAGTTTTAAAGCAACTCGTTTTCTTTCTCATTTTTGTTTGTTTGAACTTTGGATGAAATGACTCTCAATATTGTCGCTCAAGTTTTGATCTAGCGACTCTCAATATTGACGCTAAAGTTAGGATCTAGCGACTCTCAATATTGACGCTAAAGTTGGGATCTAGCGACAAGATTGACGCTAAAGTTAGGATCTAGCGACTCAATATCGTCGCTAACGTTTGGCTCTAGCGACTTTCAATATTGACGCTAAAGTTTGGATCTAGCGACTCTCAATATTGACGCTAAAGTTGGAATCTAGCGACTCTCAAAATTGACGCTAAAGTTTGGATCTAGCGACTCTCAATATTGTCGCTAAAGTTTGGATCTAGTGACTTTCAATATTGACGCTAAAGTATGGATCTAGCGACTCAATATTGACGCTAAAGTTTGGATCTAGCGACTCTCAATATTGACGCTAAAGTTGGGATCTAGCGACTCTCAATATTGACGCTAAAGTTTGGATCTAGCGACTCTCAATATTGACGCTAAAGTTTGGATCTAGCGACTCTCAATATTGACGCTAAAGTTGGGATCTAGCGACTCAATATTGTCGCTAAAGTTTGGATCTAGCGACTCTCAATATTGACGCTAAAGTTTGGATCTAGCGACTCTCAATATTGACGCTAAAGTTGGGATCTAGCGACTCAATATTGTCGCTAAAGTTGGGATCTAGTGACTCTCAATGTTAAAGGGACGGAGTGGCCTAGTGGTAGTGAGCTGGACTGCTAACCCGCAAGTCTCCGTGAACTTGGCTGATGTCATTGTCAGTGACAGCTTCATGTGTCAGTGACAGCTTCATGTGTCAGTGACAGCTTCATGTGTCAGTGACAGCTTCATGTGTCTGTCACCTGACGACATGATTGGCATTCTCCAACATCAGTCTCTGACTGTCTGCACAGACTTTTCTGTCTTCTGTCTGCTGAGGTGGGCGTATGCTGAGACAGACTCCATTCGCGTCAGCTTCAAGGCCCTTAATTCTCAGAATATTAGGATTTCAAACCAGCTCACTGGCCAGGGAGTAGTTGCAACAAAGCGCATTCCACCCAAACCCAATGTATGTGATACGGAGACAGCGGTCTACAGAAGGTCTTGCTTGAGCCAACTGCTGGAGAACATTGAATTTACGCATGCTAGCGTTGATTGCCTGACCTATCTCATGACCAACGAGTTTGTTGCTGACCACAGAGACGCCATACTGCGAGTTAACAGAGCGTCAGCCCAGAGATTTGGTGCCATGCCGGCAGGTAGACTGGGCACATGCAAGCACTGTCAAGGGGGTTTAGTTTATCAGTGATGACAGGAGATTGTTTGGGTACTTGACACCTTCATTGTCAGTGTTCGAGGTGGGATGGGTGGTGCTTCTAGTGTCCTGTCTACCTGTGCGTATGTTCACAGGGATCTTGTCACTTGTACTACTCAAGTGGCCCGTGTTTATCTATCAGCCTAATTTTCTGACAAACATCTCGACTAAAGAGAAAAAAACTGCGTGACCCACTTCTCTGAGACCAGCGTCAACATCTTCAGCTACCTTATGACTAGCCGGAAGTACAAGGAGAGCTTCAATACCCTCATCAAGTTGGGTTCAATCTAGTTTTTATTAAGGAGACTTTCTACACCGTCTTCAAAAAGGGTTTGACATCTAGTTTCCATAGGAGAGTCTGCCATCTCCTCAAGATGGGTTCAATGTAGTTTTTATTAAGACAATTTCTGTAACGTCTTCAGTTGTTGTTTTAAGTTCAAATTTAGATATCTCTATTGTTTAAAAAAATAAGTTCGAAGTAGTTTTATTCTAGAGACGTTTCTGTAACAATTTTACATCTACAATCTAAAACTAGCTTAAGTCTAGTTTATCGCAATCCCATACTAATATTTACAGTCTTTTACTAACGTTTTTTTTAATTTGTGGCACAATGTGAGAACTATTGAGGGAGGGCAGACTTTCAGGTGACACAGATCTAGGTCCGGGTATTGTAACACAGCAAATGTATTATGGGTGGTATGTGACAGCTGTTTGGATGATCAAGTTCTTGTAACACGTAACCCAATTACTGGTGGGTTATACGAGGTAAACAATAACATACCTGACAATGTTTTTCGGGTCTCCGCAATTCGGGTAAGTGGTTTTCAAAATTTAATTCGTTTAATTTCGACTTTACAATGTTTTTACTCAAAATAAAATTGTGTTATTTTAGTGGCTGAATCAATATTGTTTATGTAGACTTATTTAAATTCTATACTTTGGTTGTAGATTGTTGAAGAAAGGTTGATTTTGATTGACCGAAGGCTTTACTGACCACTTTAGTGTACAGTTACACGTCAGTATATAATCCACATGCTAGATTTTATGTCATGTGTTTTCTTAACATACTATTATATTGTTATGAACACACTGACACACCTTTACGGGTGATCCAGTGCGTCACGCAACATGTATGACGAAACAAAAATAAACGAATCACAAATCAGAAGACTGGATAAAACAACGGCTCGTTAACGATAAAAGAGTGTAATAGTTTACACACTACCTACACCACACAGGCTATTGTAAATATAAATGCATACGCTACTACACAAACTAAGATACATTGGTTATCTAACCGTACAGAACTAAACTACACAAACTAAGATACAGTGGTTATCTAACAGTACAGAACTAACCTACACAAACTAAGATACAGTGGCTATCTAACAGTACAGAACTAACCTACATAAACTAAGATACAGTGGCTATCTAACACTACAGAACTAACCTACACAAACTCAGATACAGTGGCTATTTAACAGTACAGAACTAACCTACACAAACTATGATACAGTGGCTATGTAACAGTACATAACTAACCTACAAAAACTAAGATACAGTGGCTATCTAACAGTACAGAACTAACCTACACAAACTAAGATACAGTTGCTATCTAACAGTACAGAACTAACCAACACAAACTAAGATACAGTGGCTATCTAACAGTACAGAACTAACCTACACAAACTCAGATACAGTGGCTATTTAACAGTACAGAACTAACCTACACAAACTATGATACAGTGGCTATGTAACAGTACATAACTAACCTACACAAACTATGATACAGTGGCTTTCGAACAGTACAGAACTAACCTACACAAACTAAGATACAGTGGCTATCTAACAGTACAGAACTGACATACACAAACTAAGATACATTGGCTATTTTAGCAGTACAGAACTAACCTACACAAACTAAGATACAGTGGCTATCTAACAGTACAGAACTAACCAACACAAACTAAGATACAGTAGCAATCTAACAGTACAGAACTAACCTACACAAACTAAGACGCAGTGGCTATCTAACACTACAGAACTAACCTACACAAACTATGATACAGTGGCTATCTAACAGTACAGAACAAACCTACACAAACTATGATACTGTGGCTATCTAACAGTACAGAACTAACCTACACAAACTAACATACAGTGGCTATTTAACAGTACAGAACTAACCTAC